GGAGATTTTGGAAGGTTGACCCATCCCAAACAGTTCGAGAGATAGCAGAAGAGCTAGGCCTTGGCAAATCCACTGTTGCAGATGGTCTGGAACGCATTGGGAAGGTGAAAAAACTCGACAATTGGGTGCCCCACAATCGGAGTGACCGGCAGGAATCGGCACGTCTCGAGGTTCCTTCTTCACTGCTTTTGCGCAAAAGAATTGACCCGTTTTTGAACGGATTTGTCACCTGTGATGAAAAATGGATCATGTATGATAACAGGAGACGTTCCGGACAGTGGTTGGATTTGGAGAACCACCGAGGTAATTTTCAAAGCCGAACCCTCTCGCGAAAAAAAAATTCTGGTCAGGTTTGGTGGTCATCGGCTGTTGTAATCCACTATAACTTTTCATCACCAGGCCAAACCATCACAGCAGAACCCTACTGTGAACAAACCGACCAAATGTACCGAAAATATTGTCAGCTGCAGCCAACACTTATCAAAAGAAAGGGTCCGATTCTTTTGCATGACAACGCCCGCCCACACGTTTCACAAATCACTATCCATAAATTGAACGAATTGGGAGTTGAAGTTCTACCTCACCCACCATATTCTCTAGACCTTTCACCAACCGACTGTCACCTTTTCAGACATTTTCAGAAACTATTCGGCTGCTGGAGAAATACTTCATCATAACAGGACCAGGCAAAAAAGACCTTCGCAGATTTCGTGGATTCTCGACCACCCAGTTTTTCCTTTGATGGGATTTCTCGACTGCTGCCACATTGGCAAAAGTGTGCTGATTCGAATGGTGCTTATTTGGATTAAATCCGATGAGTGTTAAGAAAGTTATGATCGTTTAAAGTTAAACACCCAAAACGCTAAGAACTTTCCGGACAACCTAATAGTTCTAGCGCTTAGCTCAGCAGTACCTTTCTTTGATATAACAGACTCGTCACTAGGTAACGAAATGGTTTCTTAAGCCGACGCTTGGGTGGCAGGGCAATCCTACGCTGCCCCTACCATAGTACGATCGCATTACCCCACCCCCCCCCCTCTCGTTGGGATTCTCAGCGTACGAAGTGCGGTGTCACAATCAGCCACGCAAAATTTACCGAGCAAAAGCTTTCTGGGATTCGTGCGTGGAGGTATTGAACACCCTTGACTGGTCACAAATGAGCCGTTCCACTGATGCCCTGCTAGTAACCTCGGGTTTCTTCTGAACTTTGCTGAGCAAATAGCCGTCATGGCGGACGGCATTCAGACTGAAGTGACGGCCACACCATTGACGAGATTATTATCCGGTTGATGCGCAAGTGAACAAGAGAGCAGTGGAGTGGTGATTCCGTTTGTGGAACAAGCCTGGACAAATCCAATCTTCCCAAATTGGCGGTCTGATTCAGCAGAGAATTGTGCAACGTCTATTTGTGCCTTTGAGGTGGCAATAGTTGTAGGACTTGGTGACAATGGCGGACAGACTTTTTTCTTTTTTCAACGTGCAGCGTAGTGGAAAGCATTCACGTTTACAAGATCTGTGCTGTACTCTTTTCCTCTCATCATTGCCTGAAGCGAACCATTAAGCTGGAAAACGACTAAATTCTCATGCGGAACAAGGCTGTCATAAGTTTGTACTTTCCTAAGGACACATTAATCAGTACCTGCGGCCGTCCCAAAATTCGGACCGTCTGCTCCATGAACAAATCTGTCATCCGATAGTCGTTCCAAAAGCTCTAAACGTTTGTCTCGTCACCATTTCGTACAACCTAAAACTATTACTGCTACTCCGGTTTTGAATATATCGGTAATATATGCCTTTTTTTTTTCCCCACAAAGTTCGTTGGCCATTCGTTTTTTGCAGAGCTTATGAAGATAACTCACCAAGTTGAACTTACCGGTCCATGATATAATCTCCATGCATACCCACCACCTTTCGCCAACGATCGGGTAGAGAGGCAACTCCATCCTCTCAGAAGCCGGCCAGCCGCGACTCGCCCAAGTCCTCGATCACGTCCTCGAGGTCGCGCTCGTTCTTCAGCTGTTTTCCGTTTTCCATGTTTTTCGTTCAGGAAGTTTCGCATGGACCGGAAGATGTGGTAATCGCATAGACTGATGTCCGGGCTATATGGTGGATGCGTGAACGTCTTGATGCCCAGCCTGTCCAGGACGGCCTGAGTATCTCTCGCTTTGTGGGGGCGCGCGTTTGTCCAGAGCAACCACGGATTTGCAAGTTTCTGGGACAAGGCGGCAGCTTTCACCTTGACTAATTCTTTAGAGAGGGTCTCTGCCGTCACTGTGGCATTGTTGGGTAGGGTGCTATAGTGGACGACGCCGTGACGAGAGAACCAGAAACCTCGGCATATCTTCGATGCCATAGTTTCCATTGGTGAAGCGAGTCCCCCATTTTGACATCCAGTTCTTAGAAGGGGTGTTATCACCAACTGTGCTGACGCATCCTGGTCGTGGCCTGACGTCTGGAGATGTCCAGATTGTAGTAGTCCAGCAACTATCACTCATCTTCACTGCTTTATTGTGGAAAGATCAGGAAAGGAAATTTAGAGCTAGCTAGCTCAGAAGATAGCCCATCGCGAGTACTTTCAGTATTGCGAAACCATTATGCAAAATCACAACGCGTTGCGTAACGCGACGCTGTTTACAAATGGCCAACGAACTTTGTGGACACCCTAATATATGCCTTTGTTAGATGCTGGAGTTCTGGAAAATCCCTGAGTAGTTCATTCATTAAGTTGTAAAAAGGACCCCAATTTTTGAGAATTGTAAGAATTGTCTATGTAAGACGCCGTGCATTTGCTACAAAAAATTTTGAAAAATTCCTTGAGCACCTTTCTTCACCTTATAGTAAGCTGAAACTATGCGCATTTTCGCCGTGACGGCAGAGGCAGACATTTTGACCATAGGATCGTTTGAAGGAAGCGACGCGGCCTCTTGGCTCTACTAAAAGGGCAGTGGCCAGTTGCGGTATGAGGAATAAGAAAATTGCGGTTCGTCTTGTAAAAAGATCTACTGTGGCGACGTCGCATTCTCATGGGTAAGAATAGAATGATGATGTTGATTTGCGAGCAAAGCTGGACGCGAAATCGCATGGCCCAATCGTAGTAGTTTCTGGTTTATTTAGAAGTCTGATGTTAATTCAACACCTCGCGGCCTCTATTAAACTAGTACGGCTTAATTAAGGTCTTGAGATCTTGAAGCCTTGTCCTAGCTGCCCGTTTCATCCCTACCCTAATTGTGGAGCACCCTATACTTCGCCAACGATGCAAGTAACACGCTGCAATGTAGCTAGTGATCCTGCTGGCCGACGCTTCGTCGGAATCACCTGGACTGATGCAGTTGGAGAACCACTCGGCAGTACTTCTGTCCCATCAAGTAATCTCAGGCTTGAGAAAAATTTCTTCTTCGAGAAATTCGAACATTCTCAGGGCATTTCTCTGCGAGACTTTTCTTATTTCAACGAACCTCGAAGCGAAATGGTTTCTGGGACCGTTGAAGGAGAGCTTCATAACAAAAAAAGTCACCCGAGACATTTCACCCTGTTGAGCGAGCAAATATTTATTAATATGCTTGTCCTATGTACATATGTTCTTTTTTGTAAATCTACTCATAAATATCGAAGTCTTCGATTTCCGTGACAAGGGGCACGCTTTCGGTTTTCTCGGCCGTAGCACTGGTGATAATCTCGTCGAGGTCCTGCAACATCGAACGTACTTCACGCGGAGAAGCCTGAAACAGCAGTATCACTGGGTTGATGACAACGACATTCAGTTGTCAGCACGAACATCGAACTCGTTGGCGACGATTTGCAGCAGTTGAGACACTGTGATGCACTGACCACCATCCAGACTAGCAGAACATCGCGTGATGCAACCGTGAAACGTCGTCCCAATATCACCTGCGACTGTAAAATATTGATGTCTGGTAATCGGGAGGCAATTATTAATGAATATCAATCATATTGCTCACTTTTCTCAGATACTGGTTGAGCACTCCGAAGAGAGCCGTCGTGAGCATGATGCCCCAGGTCAGATAGAGCAACATAAAGCACAGCCGACCAACGCTGTCCGTCACCGGCAACGTGTCACCAAAACCAACGGTTGTGAAGCTGATGAAGCTGGAATTTTGAGGAACCTTTTGGTACGCTAGTTGTGCTGAGATATCTGTTGAAGTTGGAATATATGGCGCTGCTCGGCTCAGAGGGGGTGGGGGGGCTTTCCGGTATTTGTTTGGGTTATTCCCTGTCAAACAACAAGCATCATATTTGGTGATTCTGTTGCAAAAATTTTGGTTAAAACTAAGAAATTCTCAAGTGAGCCACTGGCACTATTCAACTATTACTACCCCAGATTTCCGGAAACGGGCCGGATTTTGATCGACTTTTTTCTACGGGGGTGGATTTGGCTGAAAGTTGGGTTCTAGGGGTAATTCGACCTCCTGAACACGAATATCACATCCGCTCCTTTCGAAACCTCTTGGCCCCGCCGATACCAAGCGCGGCGCCAAAGTACCCGGGATCACGAAATCGCTGAAAAACTTGCACCTAGGGGCTAGTTTGGGACCTCTAGCGACGAATAATATCACACATCCCTCGGCTTTAGAAAACCGCTCGCGTCGCGTACGGCGCACGGCCGCCAAAATGCCTCAAATCACTGGCGCCATATGGCGCGGAGACCAGGCAATATTCAGGCACGTGGGATGTAGATACTCGTGTTCAGAAGGGCATCGAATTACCCCTAGAACCCAACTTTCAGCCAAATCCACCCCAGTAGAAAAAAGCCGGTCAAGATCCGGCCTGTTTTCGCAAAACTGGGGTAGTAATAGTTGAATAGGTGCCAAGCCACTTCAAACTATAAAATTTACAGGTCTTCAGGAGGTGGCCTGTGCAAGCTTTTGGATAGGTATGTCAGTGCGCCCACCAGCTCAAACTGCGCCAAATGCAATATTAAGCAATTGCGATGTACTCATGTACAGGTGTAACATGGGTAGGTATTTTGGTGCAATAGTTCTCAGACTCTAACCGTAGTTCTGCGGAAATTTTTCGCACTTGCGGAATGTTTAGGAATCGCTTCAGCATTAATGTGAGAGGGGGGGGTCTCGGTGGCAACCGCCGGCCACGCAGCAGTCTGTCTCAGCTTGACTTCTCTTAGAGGTGACTAGGAGAGCTCACAGTGCTCTGCACGTGAAGTGAACCGATAAACTCCCAAAATTAGTGAAAGTCAGTCACGCATCACGGCATTACCCCTAGGACGAAATAGTGTGGGGGGGGGGGTAAAACAATTGTACCTGTCGCGAGCGGTGATCGCTTGAACTTCCACGCCCTGCCTAGGAAAGCCCCGAGTTGTCATTCCCATGTCTACATCAGCTCTTACTCGTAAGTGAGCGCTTCGGTCTGCACTGCGCACATGTTTGTAGCGCGCGCGGCACATGAGGCGTTATCATTGACGTCTACCTGCTTTACTTTAGGATCGCAGAGGATTTCTGTCACGAAGCGGATCCTGCACGAGCTGTACCTTAGAAACAATAAGGATGCATTTGTACTTGTGAATCATACCTGAAGTACACATCATCAACACTATGCCGAACGCCTGTGTGATGGATAAATTTCGATCCGAAGTAAAACGTGCACGCAAACAACAAAAGAATAATAGGTAGCGGCATGTTCGCGTCAGTGCTCAGTTTGGAACGAGCAACAGGCTGAAAGTTGACATTGGATCAAGAGCAGACGATAACTTCAATTATGATTAATAAATGGATTTATTTGACGAATTAACTTATTAATGATTGAGTATAACGGGCATGAATTCCGCTGCGCGAAACGGGAGAAACTACTATAGAAAAGCACGATCTACCACCCTCTCACCTCCGCGATGTGGGAAGAGCGGAGCAGGACATGTTCAGTGGTGACTTTGTGCTAATGTGCTGACTGCAGACTGCTCGATACAGGGAATAGGTAGGACAGCACATATGAAAATTTTACAAACGCTATTATTTATGAGCCAACCCAATAGTTAGTGGAGCTTGCTGAGCCGTGAGAAGCAGTGGACCTCCGTATTTTACATAGAAGCACACAATGCGAGCATAGCCAAGTTTTTGTCTTAATGGTTCCTACTGATGCATGCAATACGTTCGGTAACTCTACACTCGAAATCTCTGACATGCGGTGGTGGCTGTGGCTACATAGTTCAACTGAACGTGGCGGTGGCTGTGCTTTTGGTGGAATGTTTTCATTTTGACACAACTGTGGTCATGACTCGTCCAACACTGAATAGGATGACAGTTGCCTCAAACTGAAATATCCCAGGAGTAACCCATTTCATGTCATGCTCCCCCACCTACTCTGTCTCAGAGATAAGTAGTGTACGATCGTGAAGTCGTGGCCGTGTTCTCCGGCGCTTCCACTGGACGATTGTCTTGCACGCCCCATTTACAGCGTACAGGGTGTTGACGAGCCGTGAGTGTTAACAAAAAGTAATTAAAAACTCACTAGTTTACAGAGATACATCAAATACCAAAATCCTTTTGTTATGAATTTCCCAAAATTCGCCATTGTTAGGAGTATCAAAGGAATACCAAGGATCGAGTAGAAGATACAGAACATTCGAGACGAGTCCGTTGTAGGACTTATATTGCCATAACCTTGACGATTATCAGTATTCACTCCGGAGTCTATCTAGTGCTCCTTGTAGAGTACCGTCAAATTTATAAGAGTGAAAGTGAAGTGACTACGAAAACTTCCTACCAATAGTGGTGAGTGTGCCGAATTCAAAGAGTATTATATCCAAGAATGAACATTTTGCGAGCTGTTCGTCAATGGACTGAAAGAGCACAGCACCAACGATAAGATATGCTGTCAGCAGAGAGACCAGAAATAATTGAGGAACAGCAGCACACAGTATCTAGAAAGTAGCTTTGAGCAGCTTTCGGATGACCAGGCTTCTTGATAATTTTCCTCAAACCACCTCAGTTCATTCAAAAGTCATTTCCATTTTTTAGGACTACGCTGAAATAGCCCAGTGAATATAATCAAAAACGGTTGAGATGATACATGTACAGTAGTGGTTTCATCCCACGGAAGATCTGCACCTACTGGGACCACTTGGAGGTTCGGTTGATCTGAGTAACCAACCATGGCAAGTACAGACCATCTTCGAGAAATCTTCAAGCAGTTATAGGGACTGAGGAGGGGTAGGGCACATCATTATGATGTAAAATTTTTACGTAATTTGTATGACCCCTGATATTTTTTCCCTCCTCGCAGCAAACACCTCAGAGTGTTTCGAGAAGCGGGCTGACGGGAATATGGAACATGAGATACAAAAACGGGAAAAATGAACAATAATCAAAATAATCATGAAGATATACGAGCCCCTGCCCCCTCCCCCTTCCCCAACGACAGAACGTCTCTTTGAGAGTTCAACAGCAATGATGCGCCCTTGCGGTGAGGGGGTCCAGTTATTCGGGAGATATACCGTATTGGGATCGCTGAATCTTGGTACATCAATGCGGAATTCAGGGGAGGAAGTAATATTTGTGATATTTTGACCCTTCCCTCTCGACGGATTAGCTTCCGGAAAACCGAAGGGAAGAGGTGCGAAAAAGAGTGGCGATGTGGGTAAGTCCGCATGTGAGGAGCAAAGGTCGTACTTGAGACAGAGGTAGAGACCCCTTCATACATCTGCTGGGTACCCTGCGCACACTAACAAGACTCATGAGTACTAGTCAGTCTGCTGAACACAGAACGGTAAGCGGAGGAGATCCAGCGGAGAAACTTTGTTAACCAGAGTGTGTACAGGTGAGAGCGTTCAAGGCGTTCATGAAGTTCAAATGAAGCACAAAGAAATGTTCCCTGTGAGGATTCCCACTGCTTTGGAGAAGTGGCGATCGTGCCAAGTATTGTGCAGGAATTGCATTCAGTTGCCTGCCTTTGAACGTCTGCTTTGTTTAATGTTGTGATTTTTAAAGTTCACACGTCGCGATAGGAGGGTGCAGGCGAATGCTGGGAATCAGAGAAACGCGTACCACGTGAGGTGGAAAAGGTCAAGAACCATTACGACGGAAATCACCGAAAATCCAGACAATTGTGGATACCAGTTCCCAGAATGACCGAC